CTATAATTTTTCCTCTTTCACTCGTTGCAAACGATATAACGCCTAGGTTGAGCCATAGATGGCTAGATCTACTTTACGATATTCAAAAAAAAAACTTGCTCTTCCAAAAATCTCCGGGCTTATAAGGAACCAAAATATACATGAAGAAAAAAAATATATAAAAATTGACATTATTTGATTTAAACAATAGTACGAATATTTCTAATCAAAGTAAGCAGAGTTCAAAAACTTTAATAGATTTTTATTGCCTACTTTTGGGCTTTTTATTTAAATTTATACACATTTTCCTTGCTTCAAGCGCTACTACAAATCCCCCCGCCAAAATCGGACTTTGGGGGTTTTTTTTTCTCTAAACCACCAAAGGGCGATTCGCGCTTGGAGCGAATATTTCGTTTATTGTTTGATGTCTTTCGCATGGTACTTTCCCACGAACTGCCCTTGCAGGTTCTCCAACTCAGAATAACTATTACCAAGCTTGCGTCTTATTCTAGCCTTGATAAAAGTAGGAGCTAGCTTAGCACTAAAACTCTTCCTTTGTTGGAAGTTCCTTCGAAAAACTGGCTGCTATAACGGATCTATTGACACGCTCGGAGGCGTTAGCTTGTGGTGCGTGAACCGCAGTGTACGAGTGGTGTATCGAATATTTTCGAAGTAATTCATTAAATATTTGTGATTTGAATTGAACACCATTGTCCGATACAGTCACTTCTGGTACCCCGAAGCAGTGAAACAACTCTTGTTCAAAAAACGGTAGAATGGCATCTGCGGTCAGTTTGCGAACAGGTTTTAATAAAGGAAACTTTGTGAAATGGTCGAGCACAATAAATATGCCAATATGACCAGCCTTGGAACGGGGATACGGTCCAAGATAATCACATATAATTTTTGAAAGAATCGCTGAGTCTCTCCACTTTTCCCATAGGAGGTCTAAGAACACGATTCGGATGTTTAGTCGCTTTACAGACTTCACATTTATTGATGTATTCTTTGACGTCCGAAATTAACTTTGGCCAATAGTAATATCGTCTTAATCTCTCTAGTGTTTTATTTATCCCACAATGCGAAGCTAAGGGATCATCGTGAGCCAATTTCAAGGCATGGGGAACTAATTCTTTGGGTAGCCATAATTTCCAAACCATGTCATCGGCAACTCTGTCTCCTGAGGCATGCTCGGACCTTCGATAAATAAAGAAACCGATAACTTTGACATCCGGAATTTGAGTCTGATTCTGCAAAACTTTAGACTTTAACAACTCATAGTCCTGGGATTTAAAATATGGAGACTGTATATCAATAAAGTTATTCACATCTAGAGCCGATAAATCCTCCGTGTGAGTACGGGATAAAGCATCTGGTACAATATTTTTACTGCCTTTTCTATGTTGTATGGAGAATGTATATCCTTGGAGCTTGAGAGCCCATCGAGCTAACCGACTACTGAGATCCGTTTGACTCATCAGCCATTTGAGGGATGCGTGGTCAGTAATGACAGTAAATGGATGGCTTTCGACGTAAGCTCGAAATTTGCGAATGCTTAAAATTGCAGCTAGGCATTCCTTCTCCGTAACTGAATAATTACGTTGGCATTTATTCAAGTTACGGGACATAAATGCTATGGGGACCTCGTCACCTGTATCATCAATTTGCACGAAAACACCACCCACGCCAGTGTGACTAGCATCACAATGTATGTAGAAGGGAGCCTCAAAATTAGGTGTGTGCAACACAGGGGCCTTACACATTTCAGTTTAAAGCGCTCTGGGAAGCTTGCTCTGCCGCTTCTGACCATTCAAACTTTTTTCAAGTTGTGGGCGTCAGTCAATGGAGAAACTATGGAAGCGTAATTTCGAATGAACTTATGGGTACCACCCAGTCATGCCGAGAAAGCGACGCAATTGTTTAAGCGAGCGAGGCGCTGGATTCTCGGTTATGGCAGTTATTTTATCAGCATTCATCCGAATAATAGCCTGACCAACAACATGACCAAGATAATTTACTTCCTTTAGGCAAAACTTGCTTTTTTCGACGTTTATTGTTAACCCGGCATCCTTTATTTTTCCAGCCAGTTCTTTTAACACGGCAAGATGACGGTCGAACGTATCAGACACAATAAGCAGATCATCTAAATATATAAACACTTCGTTCCTCAAGTAAGCGGGAATTATTCTGTCCATCAATTTGGACATCGTAGCAGGGGCGTTAGACAACCCAAATGGCATTACCGTATATTGGTAAAGGGGTCTACCTAGTACTACAAACGCTGTTTTGTCCTGAGAACTGGGATCTAAGGGAATTTGCCAATAAGCATATTTTCAAGTCAAGACTTGTAATATATTCGGCCTTGGGAAGACGACTAATAATTCCATCAATTAGAGGCTTCGGATAAGCATCCTTTCGGGTAACCTCGTTAACCTTTCTGCAATCAATACAGAGACGAATCTTTCCTGGTTTACAAACGAGCACCACTGGGGAAGACCAAGAACTTTCAGATTGTTCAATAACGCCAAGGGAAAGCATACGATCAATTTCTTCGAACATAAGTTTCTCTCTTGCAGGCGATACGGAATAGTGGCGTTGTTTAATAGGAATTGCGTTCCCTACATCTATGACATGAGACAGTAATGTAGTTTTTCCTAAGCCTTTTCCGCGAATGAAGGAAATAGTTTGATAATTTCTTTAAGACGTTGCTGTTGGTGCACAGTTAAATCTCGCAACGTATCCTCAACGCATGCAACACTTGGCTGCAAGGCTGGCCTTAACAAGCATGGAGGCAACAAATCAAACGTTGACCAAAAGTCTATGCCCAAGTAAAGCGGTTGAACGAGTGAAGGGCCTATATAAAAAGTAATTCGTTTAACTTTTCCACCATAACAAACTTCTGTGCGTAACTTGCCCAATATTTGTTGTGTTTTTCCATAGGCGGTTTTCAAACTTGAAGTAATCGGTTTATACGGTACATTCGTATTTAACAATTCCTCAGCGAAACTCCCACCAAAACATCCATTAATCCTATAACAGTTTTTCCCAACTCGGTTACGTCGGCGTAAGGCCTTGAATCGGTGCACAAGATCGCTGACACGAGAGCTTGTTTCTCCATCTTACATCGCTTAAGGAAATTTATTCGACGTAATCGTGCTCTTAATATCTTGCGACTTATAGTAGTTTTATTATTGGCAGGTAGATTCTGGGTTAAATGACAAGTCAGGTAAAGATTGATTAGAGGATTCTACTTCTCCCTCTAGTCGGTATTTGTTGCCTTGGATGCAACTGGTTTGCGTGTACCGGTCAATGGTACACGAGACAGGTAGTTTTTTCGCACATTGTTACAATTGGCACAAGTTGGCTTATACGTATTTGTCTGACCACAGCCATAGCAAAACACTTTGCGTTCTGCGACGCAATCTTGATACCGATGGCCAGATTTCCTGCAGTTCCAGCAGACAAGATTTATGGCTGATACATCATTGTCGATAGCGTCTACCGTATCGTGCTCTCTTCTATAGCGTTCAATGAGCGACGAGGCGCAGGGCGGGGTGCAAACACTCGAGCTTTAGAGATTGACTGAATAAAACCTTCTCGCTTTCGCACTAAATGCCTAAGTTGCGCAATAGAATTTATGGACTCATAGAGAAGCTCGTGCTGTATTTCTGGCAGCAAATTTGAGCGCAACGATTCCAGCAAGGAAGGATGCGATAGGGGTAGAGACAGTTTGTCGGTCAATATAATAATGGAATCATAAAAGTCATCGAAGGACTCACCCTCCTTTTGTTTACGACGATCGATGGCCGCACGTTTGTCAACTTCTGTTCGTTCATCTTTGAACTGAATACGTAAAGCGACACATAAATCAGACCAAACAATAATAGGGACACTCTTATGGTAGCGCCAAAACCAATCGTTCGCGCTGCCTTCAAATAGATAGCTTATATGACGAGCCAATAACTCAGTGTTTCCATCTAGTGTCTCGGCTGTTAACGCCTCAACACGATAGATGAACTCATCTATACCCATGCCCGATCGACCAGAAAATCGAAGTTTCCAGTTACTAATTATTTGGCTAAGTCGGTCTGGACGCAAATCTTCTAACATTGGAGAACTCCTAGTTCTAGACTCGTTTCGTAAAGAGTTAGCCGGTCTGGGCTGAGAATAATTGACAGTACTCATGTTCGGAGTTGGTTGCTGAGCTGTGGAGCTGCCTAATTGAGCTGTTAAAGCAGACAAAAGATTTTGGAATCCTGACTGTAAAGCTTGAGTCAGGGAGGCTGTTTGTCTTTCTGTGGCTGCCGCCATTGAATCAGAAATTGACTGCTGTATTTCGCTTACAGTGGGGGATACACGAGAGCCTGCATCTGGCTCTGCTGCCATAGGGGGCAGACTTTGCGGACGAGGATTCTTCGACATTGTGCTTTGGGACAAAATCTCTTCTGGAGGTCCTTGACTTCGGGTTCCAATCGGCATAGTAACTGTCGTCAGTTGCCTTGCGAGGGCGTCGACTACCAAACTTGGGTTAGACGGTGAAATTGTTGTTTTGCAAACAGGACAAATATTTTTCTTCCCTACTTTAGTATTATAGCACGCACGATGGAATGTGTGCTTGCAACTGGTAGCTACTCATTGTGTAGAAAACTCAATCGTTTTAAGGCAAATATAGCACTGTTCCTTATTAATCAAAGCAGCTGCTAAGTTTTCGCAACTACGATGTATTGAAATTTCTGACCTATGGTTGGAGATAAAAACTAACAATAAATAAAATTACTCAAGCGAAAAGAAACATTTTTTACAATAAAAATACAAAAACGATAAGCAGAACGAAAATTTAGAACAAAATTTCATAAAATATGTGTGGATGCCATGCAGTCGTTTTCATAAAAGGTAATCATTTGTATTAGCTTCATAACTGATCAACTAGTGAAAAGAAAGCATATAGGGATGAGGCAAAAATTTAATAATTAAGCGGCTAGTGCCAGTTGAACACCAAGCATACTTGACTCTAGCAGTAACTAATATCTTCTTTGCTTTCTCAACAATAGTTTATAGTTAGGCTCTAATCGCCCGTCCAATTTGGTCTTCTTAGTAACAATCCGTAGGAAATCCAGTACGCATAGCTGTGCGGCTCTCAATTTCTCCAGCTTGCTGAAGTGCTGCAGATCCGGCAGGATACATCTCCAAGAGGACGTGTGATTGGCTTGTTCTTCAGCATGGTATAACATGTTTATTGCCGAGCCCTTTTCTGTGCGTGGCCACTGCGATTCTTCTAGATACAAAAATGGTGGTCCATTGAACCACCTGGTCGAGCCGTGAATTTCGGGCGTTTTGGTCCATTTTGTGCCATCGTCTGCCACGTTTTGAGCTGATGGGACCCAGCGCCAGCTGTCCACATCTGATTCTTCTAAAATCTCTCCGATGCGAAGCGCTACGAATTGTTGGAACTTTCGAGCATCGGACTGGATCCAGTAGAGCACGTCCTTTGAATCCGTCCAAAATGTTCGTCTATGTATGCGTACCGACGTTTCATTTTGGATACATTTGGCCAGTCTCAGACCTAAGACTGCGGCCATTAGTTCCATACGAGGTATAGACACGGGCTTCAAGGGTGCTACTCTCGTTTTTGAGGCGGCTAAACTGCAATGTACTTGGCCATCATGTTCAGCCCGCAAATATACAACTGCTGCATAAGCATTAATACTGGCGTCCACGAATGTGTGCATCTGTACAGTCTGGGTTCGGCTCACCCACTTCATACACCGTGGAATACGGACGGTATTCAACTTTGAAACTAGATCTAGCCAGTGTCGCCAATCCACTTCGTCTTCTTTGGTAAGGTCGTCATCCCATCCGATGTTGGATCGCCATATGTTCTGAAGGATGATCTTGGCGCGTATATTAAAGAATCCTAGCAGCCCAAGCGGGTCGAAAATAGACATGACCACGCTTAGAACGCGTCTTTTAGTTGGGCGCTCCTTAGATGCTTTTGCAAGCAAGTTCGGCTTTACCACAAAGGTCAACAGATCTTGTCCAGGTAGCCACCACAGGCCCAGGACCTTTTCTTGCGCTTCATCCTGAGCGCTGATACGCTTGTCCAAGCCCTCACAGTCGTCTTCCAGCGCCTGCATAACTTGCTTTGAATTTGATGTCCAGTGGCGCATCTCGAAACCGCCACTAGCATGAATCCTTTTTACAGTCTCAGCTAACTGCATCATTTGGGATTCTGAATCTACCGACTGCAGCCAGTCGTCTACAAATGTGTTTTCGCAAATCGCCTTTACGGCATCCGGATGCTCCGCTACGAACCGCTCGGCATTGCGATTCTTGACGTAATTTGCTAGGGCTGGCGAACAGGATGCTCCGAACGTCATGACTTGCATAACGTACGTTTCGGGAGAGCGCGACGAATCTCCATCACGCCAGAGAAACTTCTGAGCCGCTTGGTCTTCTCGGCGCACCTTGACCTGATGAAACATTTCCCGTATGTCGCCGGATACGGCGATAGGGCGCTCTCTGAAGCGTATTAGCACGCCCATCAAAGATGCTAGTGTATCTGGACCTTTAAGCAAACAATCGTTCAGCGACGTGCCACTAACTTTGGCGGCTGCATCCCATACCAAGCGTGTCTTTAGCTTGTTCGGATTGGTGACTGTAAAGATAGGAAGAAACCACGACATCGTGTTAGCTACTAACTCACTATCCTTCAGCCGGCGGATATATCCTTTCTGTTTATAGTCGTGCATCGTGTTCATCATGAACTCCTTTAGTGGTGGGTCTTTGAACATCTTTGCCTCTAGACATTTAAGGCGCTTAACCGCCATCTGGTAAGAGTCTGGCATATGAATGCGATCAAACCGCCATAGCAAGCCAGTCTGCCAGCGCTTTTCGTCTTCCAGATAAGTTGTTGTTGCCTCCATTATCTGCATCGAGCGTTCGTCCTCTCTGGATCTCAGCGGATTTGAGGAGACGCTCACACCTAGTGACTCCAGGGCAAAATAGCTCTTCAGAGCCTCATCCATCCCACGTGTCGCACTGCACTGGCAAATATGTAGCAGACGAGGCGTGGTGCTTTCACCCACCATAGGGCGGCCATATACAGACCATCCTAGTCTGCTTCGCGCTGCTATGACGTCGTCGTTTTCACCTTCTCGTATCTCCAGGGGTGCAGTTATTTTGATGTTGTCCAAGCCGATAATAAGCTGAGCCTTTACGTTGTTATACGGCAGGATATTGAGATCCGGCTTACTCTTATATGATGTGACTAAGTAAGAGATCAAAAAGGCAAAAGACAACAGTTTGATCCACTTGATAGCCACAAGCTCAGTGAGGCTCCAGAAATCTCTCAGAAGGAAAAATAAAAAGTTAGGATGAAAGGGATAGCCGTTGCCTAGGTAACGACTTAATGAGAAAGTAGCGCTTACTCCATAGAGCAACGGAAGGGTATCATTGAATCAGTGTAGGAGTAAATGGGATGGCCGCAGCACATTTCTCCGCGTAAAACCAATAACCAAAAAACAATTACACAGTGATTAACATGGTTTAGAAAGTATAGATCTCGGAGTTATAACAGATTAAAGTTAAAACGCATCCAGTAAATCTAAACAAATCACATGTGTTACTTGCTATAATAAGTCTTGGCAGTTACGCCAATTTAAAGCTGTAGCTAATCCAAAAAGAACTTATTGCAAATAACAAGACAATGGGTAGCGACGAACACAATCGAACTAGCTGTGTATTGTCAGGTTTTGTTGACAAATGAGAAGAGTTATCAGACGGGGCCAGCCAGAATGGCTGCCTCATGCCCCTAAGTTGGGCGCCAAATATAATTATAACATATATTATATTGTAACATACAACGTATGTTAGCGAGCTGATGTCCGTGTAGCGTCTAGCGGAGCACGCGCTGGTTCCGGCACAGTGACGTCGGCTGGGGTGGGTTAACTAGGATAGGGCTAAGCGACCTACTTGCAGGCATTTATAATTATATAAAAATTCGCGTGCTATTTAGAAGTTAAGTTCGATTGCAAAAACCAAATTTAGGGGTTAGGAGAAATCGACAGAGTTAAAGAAATTGTACTAGATGGATACAGTAATTGTGGCTGTTGTTGTTGCTGTTACGCTGCGCTGGTGTCAATGCGACAGCTGTTGCCCACCCTACCATGATCACCGGGGCCGCTTGACCAGACAATTGGTCGGTGATCCCTAAAACAACACAAATTAAATTATCCTAACATTCCGACGATGCATGGCTCCAACATATCAAGGCAAATTTAGCTCATAATTATAATTTCATTACACATATTTATTTTGGTGGAGGATTGAGGGCTTAAATAGAAATTTAATTTAGGCATTATGGATTCTTAATAATAGGAAAAGAAAAAATTATAATATACATAGACAAAGAAATTCTTAATATTTTAGATTCTGAATTAAGGTAACAACATGATCAAGAAAATTTAATTTTGTTCGACAGAAATTCATTTAATCTATTAGAAATGCAAGGCTACTGAAGCAAAAGCATTATCATTCAATTGAACTAAGTTATTCTCTTAATATTTTCTCTTTAACACGATTCTTTAGCTCTTTAACGGGGCTTTAGATTATTCAATTTGATTTTATCTCTCTTTATCTCATAACTTGAGGTGCAAAAAAAATAAAATTAAGAGTTTTACTTCACTTACATGCATTCACTCCATCTCCGAAAGCGCTTCCATCGATGTAATGTGCGATGATTTGCTGAAAAAAAATTCACTTCGAATTGCGCACAAAAAAAAATTTAGAAAAAAAAAGAAGGCACTAGATAAAAACTTTTTTTTCCAAACTTCATGTGACTTGTATTCTCTGTCTTTCTCTTCGTACGTCGCTTTTCGAATTACTTAAAAATTTGGCTCTCACCAGCACTATGGCGATCCGAATTTCGGCGCATGGAAGGAGAGAAGGAGAGTTAAGAATATAGGCCAATGGAAAGAATATGATGGGCAAGGCAAGGAAAATAACGGAGTTAAAGAAAAAAAAAGAAATGAGGAATTAAAATTTTAACCATGTGGTTACATCTCTTTGCCGAAAAAGAATAAAAACTTACACATAACTATGGCAATAATGCGCTTAAGGCGATTTAACTACGCCCATGGTGTTCACAGAGGGACTTATGCAATTTCTCACTTTTTTGGTAGCTGAGATAATTATTCATATAATTATTTATTTCTAACAAAACTAACACTACACGTAATAAAAAAGAAAAAAAAATGCTGGTTCGCTTATCTGTGGCGGGAATTATTGCGCGACAGAGTTAAATGTAGCTGCTTTCGTCGACGTCAGCCACCAGGGAACGATTTCCAACTGATTTATGGAATTTCGGCGACGGCGATCGTCTCTTCCTAATTCCTTTTTCGAACTCCCATTTTCGAGTAGGCGAGAGAGATGGAACGAGATGATAAAGCTGGGCTCAGCTGATTTAACTATTTGTGTCAAGGTGAATTAATGAGGGCAATAACAGGTGCTCTGCATTTTTCGTAATTCGGCAGTCGAAAAAATAAATAGATATTTTTTTTTGTTTTTTCGCTGCTAATTGCAGAAAGCCGAATGACTGTAATATCTCAATCTAATATGTTTTTTTTTTGAGAATATTACTAAACGCCATACCTGCAATAGACAGGTTGAGACAAAAGTGCCATTTAGTCTTTGGGTGACTAAAAATGGGTCTAGCAAAAATCTAACTTACCCCTGATTGGGTCTGGCATTTATTTGAATTTAGTTTTTTTCTAATTAATTGTTGCGGCCAACTGGCGGCTGGGAAATGGTTTGGCGATACGCGCACTTAGAGTTTTTTTTTTCTTTTGCAATCACTGGTTTTAGAAATATACTTTCAGAAAAAATACTTTTTTTCTTAGAGGTTAATCGCGATTATAAATAGGCGCACTTCTCAATTTCTATTAGTCAACCTTTTTCCACGGTGGACAGAATGTAAAAGAAAGATCTGAGCTCCGGTCGCCTTAGGGAAAGCTATTTACAGCGACAACAGGTCAGACGCCATTTCTAAATCTCAGATTAACATTTATCTATAATTTTTCCTCTTTCACTCGTTGCAAACGATATAACGCCTAGGTTGAGCCATAGATGGCTAGATCTACTTTACGATATTCAAAAAAAAAACTTGCTCTTCCAAAAATCTCCGGGCTTATAAGGAACCAAAATATACATGAAGAAAAAAAATATATAAAAATTGACATTATTTGATTTAAACAATAGTACGAATATTTCTAATCAAAGTAAGCAGAGTTCAAAAACTTTAATAGATTTTTATTGCCTACTTTTGGGCTTTTTATTTAAATTTATACACATTTTCCTTGCTTCAAGCGCTACTACAGCCTCTACTCAATATCCACACCAATAATTAAGTCTTGGTGAAAAAAGACTAATCAAAATAGCAGCACAGAAAACTATACAATCGCAATAGCAATGATGATGATAGAATTCAAAGAAGACGTGCATGAATGTGTATGTGTACATGTATACAGCAATTTTTGGAATTTGCGCCTGCTGATGCACGTGTTTGCAGACCAAAACATATTTTCTTTCGTGTTTCTTAACCGATATTGATGAAATTTTCAGTAGTAGATCTTATTGTAGTATAAAATATTCGTTTTTCACAATGACAATTGCATTTAAATTGTGGCTTAATTAAATAGGTAAGACAAGTTGGTTTACTAACATGATTTATATCTTTTAGGTGGCAGCGGGGAGATGGCGACAGCTAAAAAATGAAAGATACTTGATACATATATACTACTCTAGAAGCTACATATTAAATTTGGTGACTCCAGCTCTTAAAATCGATATCGATTTTTAACGATTACTTGGAAACGGGGAAAGTTATCGAATATCGGCAACAAACTCGATCTGCGTATGGACTAGGAGGACCTACAGCTAAAATTTCTCTAGCTCTTATAGGTTCTGAGATCCTGGCGTTCATACATACGGACAGACGGAAGGTCGGACGGACGGACAGACAGACGGACATGGCTAAGTCGGCTCGGCTGTTGATGCTGATCAAGAATATATATAGTTTATTGGGTCGGAGATGCTTCCTTCTGCCTGTTACATACATTTCCACAAATACATTATACCCATTTTCCCATTTTCAATGGGTTCAGGATATAAAAATTAACACGCATTAATTTTTATAGTTTACCATTCGTTCTTGCAGGTTTGAGTTTATGTTTTTAGCCTCACTAGCGGTAGCACACGCTCGGATCACCGATTACTCACTCTCAAATTACATTCCTGTTTTGGATGGAAATGTATTAGTATGGGAACAAAGGGATTTTATTAGTCCCTCAAGCAATTTAACAGACCTAACCAATTTGGTAGATGAAACAGAGAAGTTGTCCGCTATGTTTCTCCAGTCGCATATGCGAAAACTAGACATTGATGTCGATCACGTTAGAAGCCTATTGTCCGTTGTTAGTGCATCATAGGATGGCAGGAAGTTTAAACTTCTAGGGCACTGCACTAAAGGGTTGTAGGCACACCAGACGGGTCCAATTTCGAAAAGATTAGAATGTCCGAGTAAAGACTAATTGAATAAAACAATAGACAGGTAACAATAAACTCCGAAATGCAGAATCAAATCAACCAATTGACCAAAACAGTAAATGAAATCATAAAAGCGAAAAAGTCCGAATTAGTGGACACGCCACATTTATATTAGGCATTATTGGCAAGAAATAGGATGATCATAACAGAAGTGCAAAATCTAATACTCACGATCACGGTCGCTAAATTAGGCAGAGTAAACCCCACTAAAATGGTGGGTGACCGTAATGACTTGAAATCAATACTTAATGAACATCCCTCAGAAGTCCCAATTATTAGGCTTATGGAAGCCTTCACTAAAAAAGTCCTTCAGTTTGAAAACAGCTGCAAGACAAAATCATTGCTGAGTGCAACGGCGACATCTTGGCGGTCAAGGAGTGCACCATGCGCGATCTGCAAAACAGCAGAGGGTGAAACCTGCGCTCGAGCACTACACGCTGGTACGACAGCTTACTGCCGTTCTCAACCCAGCGATCTGAGACCCATCACTCAAGTGGGCGACGGCATGATAATTATAAACGAAAGCCCAGCGAAAAGCAGCGCTGACGACGGTCCAGATATCGAAATCAATGGCATCTATCTCGTCACATTTGAGCATTTCGCCGTGGTCAACGGCACCAATTTCATCAACCAACGTGAAATGTTAGGGAAAGGCCAGTTGTAGCGGGATCCCCATTGCTCAATATCATGAGTCATGACCCAATGCTCAGCATACGACAGCTCCACAGGATGTATAGCCAAAATTTAGAAATCATCTAGGACTTCAAAGAAGAGCTGGAGTTGAGCGGGTCACACGCAAACTGGCCGTGGGTATCGTTTTAAGCACCGCCTGCAGTTGTTTTATCCTCATCTACCATCTCCTTAAGCGGCGACAAGCTTCGAAGAAATCAC